CAGCTCTTGAACAGCTATCAAACAACTAAAACAGCTATCAAACAGCTATCAAACAGCTATTGAACCGCTATGAAACAGCTATCAAACAGCTATCAAACAACTAAAACAGCTATTGAACCGCTATGAAACAGCTAAAAAACAGCTATCAAACAGCTCTTGAACAGCTATGAAACAATTAAAACAGCTATCTGTATAACTGCGATCTGTATAACCGCTATTGAACCGCTATCAAACTTCTTTTAAACAACTAAAAACAGCTAAAAACAGCCATCAAACAACTAAAACACTCAATGAATACAGAACGTCAGAATGATCTGGTGCTAACGGTTTACAGGGAACATAATAAGCTCTAAAGCTCATAACTGACTATAAACACTTTTTATTCATCATCACATTATTAAAAGCCAACATTAAAAAACTGAAAAGTGTTTCCGTTTTAATAGCTTATTTAGCTAGTCAACAGCTTGCCAAAAGTTTTCCCCGGGGTTCCGAACGATCTTAGGTGCATTTTTTATTTGTATTTATGTCTAGAAAACGTATGGAATAGGTTTTATTTATTCCCCCAAAGAGCAAAAATTGGCTTTTTTTAACATTGTCCTTTATCTGACAGCGTTATAAGCATCTTAAGTACGTTATAAGCATAAAGTTCGAATTCCACATTAATTAATTAATTATTCAAAAGTTACACAGTAATGTGGGGATGTTGCGGGAACAGGGACAAAAGCCAGTCAAACATATAGTATAAATTGTGACCAAAGGTTCTTTAGAATAATTTATTGTAGTAGTTTATTAGCAGTACAGAACTATCTACCGATTGCACACAATAATCTCGACATAAGACATAAGCGTTTAAACTTAAACGTAATTTTTCCGCTCTTTGCGCACGCCGCCAATGCATCGACGCAACACACATGGGTATGACAAGCACAGTATACCCAACAACATACAGAACATCAATAATACAATATACAATAGTCATCTCTTACTATATATATAAAACTCATCCATATTCTCTAACTTCTAATTCTCTAACTTCTAAATCTATTCTCTAATTCTACTAACTCACTCATTTTCACTCTCAACCAGCATTATACTACTACAATAAATTACACACAATACAGAGCTGTTCACTCTCATAATCTCATTCATGAAGCTCTATCTCGTAGATTTTACCCCATCTATTGAATCTCGCAAACTCTCTTTCATTGTTTAAATACGCTTCAATACACTCGCGGCACTCATCGGCAGTCCTTATACGCATGATTATTTTTCTACACGTAAAGCACATTGTTTTAATACGGATTGGGAACCCATGCAACCGCGACGAAATGCCGTGCCATCGCACTTTTCTTTCAAATTCACGCAACTGAAGGTTAAACGTCAGCACATAGCACCGCTGACATAAGCGCATACGTGGAGATCTCCGTCCCACGTAGCAGGGCTCGAGCCCGATGATGCAGAAACCATGTATAAGATTATCGTATGTCTCGGGATACTCCCGAGGCAAAACCCCGTCCAACAACCTAATATTTATGGGTTGTATCGGCGGTTTCATTTCTATAAATAGAAAAATTTTATGTAATTAAATTTTCACACTGTTCTTAAATCTCTAAAAATAATTTTTTCTTTCTTACCGTATTTTTTCAAACTCGAACAACACAAGTCCTTGTAACACTCAAGAACCACGTTCGCGTGCGAGATGTAGCCAAAGAATGGTCCACTCGCCAAGATACAGATCCATTATCTTCATGGTAAAAGCTGTTTAAGCATTTTTATATTTATGCACTGACTTCATCAAACACATGCAAAGTGCAAATTTTGCATAGCGCTGATATACGGCTGCTGTGATCACATAGATTAAATCCACATAAGTCAATGGCATGATACCTTTTTTCAAAGACATATCGCGACGTCCCCGATAATTGATGATTTCATCAAACGTTCACAAAACTACAACTGCTGCTTTTTCAAATAGCGCGCCGATATACGACTGCTGTAGGCATGGTGACGAAATCCCTTTTAAAAAAATTTTGAATTTTCGCCAATGACATGATATTGTTTTCAAGAACATGCCGTAACATGTCTCACGATGACATCATCGAACACGTGCAAAACTGCAAATTTTGCATTTTTTCGGTTAGCGCAAATGTACGGATGCTGAGATCACGGTGAAATTAGATACGCTAAAAAAACAAACGATGCATCATTAGTGAGATATAAAAAAAATGAATAATCTGGGGGATACGCTCAATAATTGAGATTTGGAAGTCGTGAGTACAACAAAGTGTGTTAGAAAGAGGATCGTGTAATAACATGGAGCAAGAGTTGTTGGAGCAATCCGCTCGATTGAATTCGCGGGGACCTTATCAATGAGCTTTAATCTGTTTAATATATATGCAAAATATTAATTTTTTTACACGAACTTGTTTTGTAATTTTATGTTTAATTTTTTTATTATACAAAAGATAGAATATACCACGAGATTAATATTTTATAAAAATCTTACCAGTAGG